CAGTACCCTTCTCACATGGACCCAGTTACATACCACTGGCTGGCCCCGTGTTTTCTTCTTTAAAGACGCCATAGAGGTGCAGGAAATGGGAGCGCTCTCACTTCATGACTGTCAGGGAACAGCCACAGCTGGATGTCTCTTGGTTGATAAACATAGCGATGACAGCATTTTTCTAGTCATGTCACTGAAAAGTGCATGTTAAATATTCAAATCTTCAGGATTTACTAGGAAGACGTTTAAGTTGAGGAATGTTACATACAACACTTGAAGAGAATCTGCAACTACCTACTTGTTTTTAAAATACCAGTTTAAGGTCATTTTCAGGTTGCTCTATTCTTTCATCTGGAGGGAATACATCTGATGTTGGTTTTGTTGGCGGTCTTTCTTAGTGCTAGCTTTTCTCCCATGCTTTGACATTTCAGTTTAGGTCCTCATCTTGCATTTGTTTCCCGTATGCACGCGATCTCTCTCTCTCTGTCCCTCTCCCTCTCTCTCTCTCTCTCTCTCTTCACTTTGACCCATCGAGGGATTGGCTCTATTGTCTGCTTGCTACTGAGGAGCCTGGTCCAGAATCTAGTCTTGTATTTATAGCTAGCAGCTCCTGTTACATGATGCTGGTGGAATATCCAAAATCCAGCATCAGGCTAGCAGAGAGCATGTTTCAGCTCATGGCTGTGAGGCTGTGTCTGCCTCCTCCCACCTCTCCAGGAAAGCAGGTTTTTAAATACCCTTTTCATTTTGGCATGGAGACTTACCCCTCCATGTTCACTGATTTCCAGCAGTGAGCCTGGCTCAGGTTCCAGCCCATTTCTGGGGACATTAATCCATAGCAGTAGGCTAATGGTTACTTCTGTCTATAGTGTATTTTACTTTGATTTTTTTTTGACCTATGGAGATACTTAATTTATTATTATTATTATTATTATTATAACCATAGCCTCTCCCCACCCCCAGCCTTATTGAGGTACACCTGACAAATATAAATTGCATATATTTATGGTGAACAACCTAATATTTTGACCATTACAAAATATGATAATAATCAAGCTAAATATTATATCTGTCCCCTTACATAGTTATCTTTGTATATGTGTGACAAGAATGTTTAGGATTGAGCTGCTTCAGGATGAGGCTGAATATCCTTCCCTGCCAGTGGCTGCCAGAAACTCATGGAAGTGGACAATGAATGCAGACTTGGTACTGTTTATGAGAAGCATGTGGCCACAGAAGTGGCTGCCAACACTCTGGGTGAAGAATGGAAGGTTATGTAGTCCCAATCAGGGGTGGAAATGACAAACGAGGTTTTCCCATGAAGCAGGATGTCTTGACCCACACCCACATCTTCCTAGTACCGAGGAAGGGACATTCCTGTTACAGACGAAGGAGAACTGGAGAAAGAAAGCACAAATCTGTTTGGGGTTCCATTGTGGATGCCAATTTGAGCATTCTCAACTTTGTTATTGTAAAAAAAGGAGAGAAGGATTTTCCAGGACTGACTATACTACAGTACCTTGTCAGAGCTACAGAATCTGAAAACTTTTCAATCTTTCTAAAGAAGATGAGGTCCACCAATATGTTATAAGAAAGCCCTTAAATAAAGAAGGTGAGAAACCTAGGACCAAAGCACCTAGGATTCAGCATCTGTGACTCCACGTGTCCTGCAATACAAACACCTGTGTGTTGCTCTTTAGAAACAACGTGCTAAGAAAAATAAGGAAGAGGCAGCAGAATATGCTGAACTTTTGGCCAAGAGAATGAAGGAGGCTGAACAAAAACGCCAAGAATAGATTGCCAAGAGACACGGGCTGTCTCCTCTGAGAGCTTCTAATTCTAAGTCTGAATCCAGTCAAAAATAAGATTTTTCTTTTTTTTGGGAGAGATTTTTGCTGTAGGGTACGTGCACTCGCCAGACAGACAGAGAGAGAGAGAGTCAGAAAGCGAGAAATCCCCCCCCCAGGGGGGATGGCCACGCCACAA